GCTGATCTTAATACATGTTGTAAAAGAATAATGCCTGTGATCTCCCTCAGGGAAAAAAAGTGGATTCAGTTGAAATCTGACTGTTTCTTTAAATATGAGAGCAGTATCTTAGTAAGCCTACTTGAATCTAGACAGACAATATAATCCTAGGTGACTTAATTTTTGCTGCCAAGGAAATACAGAGATTTAGTCTATCAACAGTTAAGTGAAGAAATGAAACTTCAGAAAGTTTGCTGGAAATAAAAAGAAGAAAAATTAATTAGTTAATGTAGTCTACTTGGTGAAAAGCTTATGCAGACATAGCAAAGCAAGGTTGTCCTGGGTTTGGTTAAGATAGTGGGTGGTGATGTACATCAGATGTGCTGCTATATAATAGGTCAGATTAATGAAAGGTGAAAACAGCAGAAGAAAAGCTGCTAGGACAAGGAAGGAAGGGATTACTCACCTGGTCTGTTTTATTACATTAGTGTTGGACAGATCATTATGAAAAACAATCATGGCAGCTAAAGCTGGTTCTAGTTGTATGTTAGTTATTGTGAGATTGTTTTGTTACAGCATCACTCCTATCCTGCTCCAAGCTAGCACTGGTCTGGGCAGTGACACTGCAGACAACTGGCTTCAAACTGATACTGCTTCACCATCAGTTGAAACACCAGAAAGCAAGCTCTGTAGAGACTGCCACAACTGTTAATGTCTATCAGCAAGTCAGCTGATGTACTGCAGGGGTCTTCTGGCTCTGTTGGCTGTATGGAGCTTTGTCTTTGCTGTGTAAGCGTGTGCAGGCAAAATAATCATCACACTGAGTGTTTTCTCAGCCTTACCAGGGCACCACTCCTCCGTGTACTGTGAGAACAGGCTAAGTTCTATAATGTCCTAATTACCCTTGACTAAACTGCAGCCCACAGTCAGATACCATTGTAAGAGAAAATGAACAGCAACATTTTGTTAAGCAGTGGTGTCCTTAGTCTGAGATGTGACTTAAGTAATTGATTTACCAGTTATTCTTCCAATCCCTGGCCGCCTCCTGCCAGCTTCACCTGCAGCATGTGCTCCAAGGCTGTGGCCAATTATGTGAACATCAGCTGGAGAGTATTTGTATTTTTCCTAGAGAAAACAGCAATTAAAAAAATTTACTTTTTTTTTTTTCCTAACAGCAACAGGAAAGAGTAAAAAGGGTAAAAAGAATAAAAAGGGTAAAAAGAGTAAAAAGAAAAATTCTGCTTTTAATCTGACTAGAAAATTGGGAACTCCTGTAGGATTTCATAGAATGGTTTGGGTTGGAAGGGACCTTAAAGATCATCCAGTTCCAACCCCTCTGCCATGAGCAGGGACACTTCCCACTAGACCAGGTTGCTCAAAGCCTCATCCAGCCTGGCCTTAAACACTTCCAGGGAGGGGGCATCCACAACTTCCTTGGACAGCCTGTTCCAGTGTCTGACCACTCTCCCAGTGAAGAACTTCTTCATAATATCTCATCTAAATCTTTTCCTCTTCCAGTTTAAAGCCATTTCCCCTTGTTCTGTCACTCCCTGCTCTTGTCAAAAGTCCCTCCCCAGCCTTCCTGTAGGCCCCCTTCAGGTACTGGAAGGCTGGTATAAGATCTCCCCAGAGTCTTCTCTTCTCCAGGCTGAACAGCCCCAACTCTCTCAGATCAGCCCGACTCTCTCAGCATCTGTTTGCTGGTTTAGGTACTTATTTCTAAAACATAGCTTTTTCAAAGCTCCTTGTTCAGGTTCTGCTCTCATCTGGAGGCTGTTAACACTCTAGACAGCTCTGTCAACAGAGTCCTGAGAGGCTCTCTATCCATTTTTCATCCTAGACTCATTAAGATTCATAGGATGCTTATCTGGCTTGCAAAATTCAGCCAGGCAGGAGCTCTTAGTTACACCTGGCAGGTCAAGCACCATACACAGTTGGAAGAGGACATGAGAGGAGAAATGCTCTTGTAGTCCAGGCTGTTGTGACATAGTTTTCTAACTTAAAAAAAGAAAAAGAAAAGTCTCTTTTCAACACAACTTGTAAAATAATCACTGAATAGAAGAAAATGTTTTCTGCTGGTTATATTCACATTCATGAAAGTTCCTGAATCCTGTTCCTTTCAAATCAGGAATATAACTATAGCTTTGTAACCACAAGATTCTTACCATAAGAGTATTTATAAAATAAGCTATTTCGGCGCCTACAACACGGACGTTGTTCGATGCCTGGGTGTACTGACATCTCCCACCTCTTTTCCAGTTTACGCAGATACAGTTCACATCTTCCACTGTAAACAACCTCTGTTTTGTAAAACAAAAGTAAAAAACAGAGAATCCCACAGTAAATACAACCTGGAATTGATTCATGTTGCTTATTATAGCTCAATTCACTAAAGTTTCATGAATTTGTATGAGAACGCTTTAAGAAGCAAAATCTTAGCACATAGTTGCAGTCGTGCCTGCTCACAGGTGTGTGTGTGCTCATACGATACTGAAATAGTGTGATGTGCTGTAGTCATGGCCATACTGTCATTTCAAATACCCATAGCAGTGTTCTTTGCAGAAGGGAAAACAATATAAACACTGATACTTTTTATTTGTAATTTCAATCCAGTTTTGTATGCAACGCTAAAGAAGAGCTTTACTCATATACTGATTCACTTAGGTGATTTAAAAGTACTTATATAATACAAATTCAATTAGAGATTATATTTTTGATCATAAAAATCAAGAGTGTTTTTCTGATACAGATTTGTAAGAAAGAGGGTGTGTTTTTTATGAGAGAGTGCATAAATTTCTGGTGTCGCTGAATATTCATTTCAGATTTATGGCTTTATGTGGGAATATGTATATACAGGCAGATACTTTATTATCTGCCATGGAATCTGAAGCTTTGCTTTCCTTCTCTAAGCTGGATTGTTTGACTGAGTGCATTTTGCTTTAGCAGCTTTGGTATATTTATTCTTCTGTGCTTTATGTTCAGACATCATAAAGCATCCAAAACAAGCTGCAACAGGCAAAGGACAGAAAAGGCAATAGAAGCATCTGTGGCTATGTTAGAAGTAGTAACAATAAATCTGCAGGTAGGGCTATGACTTAAGGGTAAGAAAAGCAAATAACAGACACACACAGGAGGGCTGGTGTTCACAATACCATTTGCTCTGCCTTTTACTGAAAAGATTCACTGGGACCAATTTTTTTTTTTTTTTTAAGTAAATTGGAGTATTGTAATAAAACATAGGTCATTGTAATAGAGAAAGCATTTAAAGATTTATGTCATTCTATAATTCTACCCTTGTGAAAATTGATCAAAAAGGATTTAAGGGACTAGCTGAAGCAAACTGTGTTGTCTTGTTGATTGTGAGGTTCTAGAAAAAAAATTATCTATTTTAAGAGTGGAATATTGGAGACTGAGAATTATAAAAACATCAATCTGTTTCTGACACGTTGAACAAATTATTAACTAAAAAAAAATCCAACAATCATTCCTAGATGTTCATAAAGTGATAATCGAGATTTTTTTTGTTGTTGTTCAACAAGAAACTGGCAAATAAATTTCCTTTTTCTTCTGACCTAGTATCAAAGAGAAGCAGATAATGGGGATGCAATAAATGTGAAACACATTGATTTCAGTGGACTTTCACATTGTTTTTCATAGTGTTCTCATAAATAAAATAAGAGTATAGAATTTAAATAAAACTGTAGTTATGTGAATAGTTAGTTGAAAAACCTTAACCAAAAATGTCATTTAAAGCAAATGCAATTAACTATTTTGCTCTACATGCTGTAAGACTGGTCACTTACATTAGCTGCAGTTGCAATAGAAGGCATGTTTACAAGATTTGAGAAGACCACAAGCTGGAATTGCAGCGTTGTATGGAGACAGGATTAAGAAGTAACTTGGGGAATTAGGGCAAAAACCAGTAAAGCAGAGTGCTTCACTTCATTCACTGTTCATAGCAAGTCCTAGATTGAAAAACTTTCTTTGAAACCATCCCCTTGAGGTCCCTTCTGGCTCTAGGTTTCTACAGCTTTGTTGCTTCTGCTAATGGTCAGTCCATGTCTCCAGCCTCCAACACCCATGTGGCAGCCCATACCTTTATGATGGACTTTGTACATCTAAAAAACCTGTCTCTTGTCTGGAGAAATATGGTGCAATAGTTGTGAGTCTGCAGTTATTTCTGGAATCACCTATATTCCTAAACAGTATCTTGCTCCTGGGTTTGTGTTGTTTTTACCAAGAAAAAAAGACACTTATTGAGCAGAATCCTGTTGTCACTTCACTGAAGAGAAGGATTTGATTAATTTCACCTCATGCTTTTCCACAAGGTGCAGAGCCACATGTTTATGTTGCTAACCATTTAGAAATAAGTAGCCTTTTCCCCCCTTCTTATCATTGCAAGTACTATGAGAGAAATTGGTTGGAAATAGAGAAAATAGACAATTTATAGGAATGTGTTTATAAGTGCAAACTAAGGAACTTGACAGGAAGAGGATTTCCCTGTGGTACATACCCTGCACATGTCTGACAGCCAGTTTTCTTCTCCATTATCTACAAATCCATGTACAATAAATCTGGTTATCCTACTAGCATTAAAATTGGAGTAGTCAATTGTTGCGGCATCAACTGCAGAGATCTCCTGTTGTAGATATTAAAATAATAAACATTTAAATCTGTTTTCTGTAAAAAGTTTATCAAAATTGCAAAGAGCTAAACTATGATCATCTGTACTGATGTTTAAAAGTTATGTAATGTTAAACTCATCTGCAAATGTCCATGTGACTGTGGGTTAAGGTCTGCATCTCCATTCACAGAAAACTTTGACACATATCTTATAGCAGCCAAGACTTTATTTTTAATGTGTTTTCCTCTTATCTTTGGAAAAAAATTACCCAATAACTTTAAAAATGCAGTTCCTAGTACTTCACACTGGCCATACAGAAAACGTGGGTGAGTGCTGCGGCTTTGTGAGGGCTGGAGGAGGACTGTGCCCCAGGGAGCTGGAAGAATAGTCTCTTGAATAAAGTAGAGGGTTGAACATGCCTAACAGTTACCATGATTCTATGACCACAGCTGGAGTCTGTATTTATTTACTCTTTTTGCATGTAATTTACTAATGTTTAAACCACAATAGTTCTTACTTGAAAGACATCAGGGTTTTCTCTTGTATACAGGAGGAAGTGAATGTCTATCTTTTTTGGATCCCAGGGTAACTTATGGATTGGCCTTTCTGCAGTCCCAGACCATGGTATATCATCTGAGAAACATCCAAGCCTGTCATAGCAAACTTCTTTGCCTGTAGTACACAGATCAGATCAACAATATGTGAATGAACAGAGAAGTGGAGCAGGCTAGTCATAACTCATAGCATTTCTTCTCTGGAGGTCTCTTGATCTGTTGAGAAGCCTCTGGTTTACAGAAAGCAAAGACTAGCAGTTGCCCTCTCTCAGATCTTCAAAGGCTACAGTTTACCCCAAGGAAAGAGGCCACACTATTGCTCATCAACAAATTATTAAGTGGAGCTTCTCTGTGATATATTGTACCGTAACTTGGGTATCTTTCCCCAGCTGTGTTCTGCCTAAGGCAAAGACAGCTGATTAATTTCTCCTAATACCAGCCAGGATATTGCAAATAATCAGTAATAACTTGAGACTGTGCTCAACAGCTGACTACGCTGTACACAAGAAATCTTATACAATACAGCCAGTGGCTTCTGCTGAATATAAAGCTGTGCTGCCATTAGACTGTCCCTGCTTTACTTCTTCCCCATGGCCATCAACAAATAATCTCCTAGGTTTTGTAGAGTAGTAGCTTTGCTCTGAGATAGAAAGCACCAGCACCTCTTGCATGCTCGTAGTGTGGGATTTCAAGAATGGAGAAGAGGAAAGACAACACGCACACACACTTGTCTCCCTGTTCTTCTAAAGGAAAGTGAACCATGTAACCTCTATCAGTAAGTTTGAAGGCACCACAGTGTAGAATAATATCTCACAAAATATAGCAACATGGAAAACCTATATAAATACTAACCCCACACACTTACCTTCTGCTGTGTTGAGCAGAAATAGTGCAAGTATCCAAATTCCAAGCATCTAGAATAGTAGAAAAAGAAGCAAAAAGAAGCAGCTAGGATTTGTGAACCTGCTGGATTAGCAAGCACACTTAGCTTTCTGGTGCTGAATTTTTTCATGGTGAAAAAGGTGCTGTCCCTGTCTTCTCTGCAACATATATCTATGACCACCACATATGTGGGACATGTATGAGTCAGCTTCATGTTTGTTTGTTCCACTAGAAATTGTGGTTAACCTGCTAAAGCATAGCTTAAGTCCAGAGTGGTTTTTGTTCTGTTGAGGCTACGCTTCTAATTGGATGTATAGCAGCTTCTTTAGAACTAGCATAAGGGTACCCATGTCAGCTGCCATTCCCCTTTCTACTGCTGTGTCTTGGGAAGCCACATACCTGACAAGGTAAAAGAAAAACCCCAAAACCTGAACTACTTACAGTGCAGCCTTGAAGCTCCATGCACTAATGTGCAAACTTTGCGTGTAGTTTTATATTTTGCTTTATCCTTGGAAATGTTTCCAGAAAGATAGGAATGTTTATATCAGATTATAGTTTATAACTAAACTTGAAAACAACTTTAATGGTTGGTATAACTCCAAAATCCATGGACATAGATTTCTGGAATTGGTGTGCTGGAGCCCAGAACAGGATTGGAGCACCAGAGGTAGGGTAATTCCCAGGCAGCAACACATCAGGTGTGGGACATTAAAGAGAATTAAGTGGGTCTGTGTGACAGTGCATTTAGAGGCTTGTCTGGGCTGGGAAGGCTTTTGTTTTTAGTGTTGTGTAGATGGGATATAGGGGGAGTTAGTAGGGAATAATGTTGTCTTTAAGTCCCCTCCTTTGTCCTGCATCAAGTGACTTTGGATGAGGAATGCTCCTGCTCTTCTGGGTCTTTTGTGCCCATTTTCTGACATCAGCTCAATTTCATGAAGCCTCATCCCTTCAGGAAAACTTCTTAGTGGGCCTTGTAGGTCTTTTCATAGTGAAAGAGTCTGACCTTCTCCTGGTGTCCCTTTCATTTCCGTGTCGAAATTAGTTAGATGTAGAAAGACAGTTGTCTACCCCTTTGGATCCTTTCTATACTACTCACATAACCCAAGTTTGAGAAAGCCCTTCTCCTCTGAGTGATGATCTGAGACCGAACATGCTGGAAATATATACCAATAACATACAGAATTCACCCAGAGTAGTGATGTGGCTGCTTTGTGTAGTGATGTTACAGAACTCAGTAGCTTGTTCTACTGGAGACATCAACTAGAAGGTGAAAAATAGCCTGTGCAAATGAACAGGACTAGGTTGGGGAACCCCTTGGTCCTTTTTGTCTCTAGGAAAAGTCTGTAAGTGAAATCAAGAACAAAAGAGATCTCAGCTAACTCTTCACCTTGAAAGCTTTGTCAGCTTGGCTATGCTTTTTGGTTGTGGCCACATATATTTGAAGAGCTGACATTCCCTAATCTCCACCTCTGGGAATGACCAAATGGATACCAGCTGTGTGCACAGGTATCACACTGCTACCATCCATGTTAATGGGCTTCATTTCTTTAAACAGTAGGGAAGTTTATTTTTTTCTAAAATGTCACATTTGATACTAATGTAGAACTCAGTGTTCCCATCCTTAATTGAAATAGCATTTAATTTGTAGACATGTTCATATCAGTGACACAGGAGAATCAGTACCTGCCCTAGTCCACTGCTAAGTTTTAACACTTATTCAAAATGAGAGGGGAATAGTCTTTCCCATGTAATTTAAGTGGAAAAATAATGGTGGAAAAGAATTGGGTTATGTTTTTGTCATCATTAGTCTACTGCTCTTACTCAAGACAGTAATAACACAGGGTAAACTGAGTAACTGGACAGTTCCCTAGGCTGTGGTCAGATGGGTCTGAGCTGCTTGCTTCCCCTTTGGGAAGAAAGGGTAGGGGTGGGATGCATGTCCTTCAGTACAATGCAGGATGCTTGCTGTGCCTGGAGGAGCTGTTCTGGTCCTTGCAGTCTCACAGTCGGGGGCTGTTGGAAGAAAGATGGCTTTCAAGAAAGGAAGCAACAAATAAGGGCCTCACTATGTTTCTTCAGTCCTGAAGAAGCTGTACTCTGGAATAGGAAGCAAGCAGAGGAGAGGATGGGATTTCCTGCACTGCAGGACACCGTGGCTCTCTCCTGGGCTGTGGAACGGTTCTTCCCGGCATTGTTCACGCTTTGCTTGCCACCTGTCAGGTCTCTGGGGACTTGAAGTACTTGAGACTGCAGATCTCTCTTGGCTGAACCTCAGACTTGTGTTTAACTATGCTTCTAATTTCATACAGGCTTGGTTAGTGTTCAGTCAATTATACAACACTGACTCTTGTTCTTTTTTAAATAAATATTTCATGTAGGTGTTTATGCTTATCATAAATATGTTCTTAATATTGTATTTCTACTCCTACTTCTTAGTTTATCTGCCCAGCTGCTTGTACATCATTTATCAAACATGGGGAAATGTGAGTGAAAACATGATTAACTCTTTCTTCCTATTAATTAACTTAGGGTTTGATTTTTATACTTAAAAAAAATAGCCACTGTCTTGGTCTCTTAAAGCTTCAGGTGGCCCACTCATGCCATGCTTTGCAGAGCAGTAGTGTTCATTTTAATGTGAAATAGTCAATCCCAGGTTTTGCAAAGTCTGGAGTTATTAAAAATCAGAGTTTCTCTCCAGGATTGTCAGTGGCCATGGTAAAGGTACATGTTTGAAATTAAACAGTAGCCAGGTGCTGTGATTCAGCCATCTAATTTTTTCCAAAGCGGTGAAGAGATGAGGTTTGCCTTCATCTGTTGCTTCCATGAAGGTGCAGTGTACAAAAGGCTGTTCTTGACTTGATGAAGAAATATCCTGGTCTTGTTCTGTTCCTGCCTCACCACAGAGTGTCTTCTGAGGGCAGTGCTTTTGTGTGGGGCTGGAAAGTTTTGAGCAATAGCGGAGTCTGTAGATAGGAGGTGTTTGGGACTATTCCCAGCTCAGGGCTGTGTCGTGGTAATGTGCTGCCTTGAGAATGTTTGATAGACAGAAAATCTGACAAACTATCAATGTGGTGGGAAAAAGTTCTTACCTGCTTTTCTTGACGCACCACTAGAGTAAGACTGTGCAGTGTTATAAATGGATTTTAACATATATGATTTCCAGTTACTCCCATACTTAAGAGCACAATAAACTTGGTTCAAACATCAAGAACATTAACAAGTGCATTTGCAAAGAAGTGAAAAAAATAAAGGAAGCAACAAGCAGTTTGATTTTTTTTTTTATTATTATTTTTTTTTTACCTTTAATAGCCTTGTGTACCGACGTTCCCATGCACAGAGCTGATGGTTTGCTCAGCTGCTGTGTACGGAACAGTTGTTCTCAGTGACCTTTAGCAAGGTGTAAGTAACTGGGGAACTCCATATGTCACAGTTCCACGGCCACAAAAAGCTGACCTGGGAAGAAAAAGACCTTGAATCAAGGTTTGGGTTTGGGCTGGTTTGGTTTTTTTGGGGGGTTTTTTTTGTTTGTTTGTTTTTTCTCCTCCAAAGAAAAATGAAAGGCTGTCAGCTGTCACCTTGAGCTTTTAGATCAATTTTAAATCAATCCATAGTCCAACGCAAGCCTTCCTAAAAGCCTGCTGTACAGAGTGTTAGCATCTGCATATTAACAGTACCAAGGTGAATTTCTTTCTTTTGGGACCAGCTGTAAAATTTGAGTTTTAATACATAAATAAAATTAATCTCTAGATTCACAAACATAGAGTTATAGATAAAAAGTCAGAAAGGTGTCTTGTTAAGCTTGCTTTATTTAGGCTAAGTGCTTAACTAGATTGCCCCAATCAAAGCTTTGCAGCTTCTTTTTTATTTAGGAGCTCACACTAAAATGGATTTCATCACCTTCTCTAAATAATCCATGCCAATGCCAAACTATAAGCAAGTTTTTTCCTAATATCTAACCAATATTTCTTCTGTTGTGAAATAAATCAATTCAACCCTGACTTAAGCTCCATGGATATGTGGGATAGTTGACTGTGACCTTTCACAGACAGCTTACAGACAGCATATGTCTTTATGCTCCTCTCCAGGCATTTCTTTATTGAGAAACACATTTCCTTCAGCTGCTCTATGCAGACTTGAGTTGTATAAATCTCTTTCGTTGTTTTTCCAGACTTCAGTCTGTGTGTGCTGTTCCTGAAGTATACTCTCCAAACTTGAAAATGATCCTTCTTCTGGTTACAGTCTTACCCCAGTTATTCAAATTAGAATAATTACTCCCTGGATCTTCTATACAATGCTCCTGGAATGAGACTTGCTTTATCTTGGTTTGAAATTGGTTTGCTGTGGCAAAACAGTACATGTTCCTAATTATTCACTGCTGTATTCCTTTCCAGACAGTTATTCCCTGGTTTGTACTCGAACATTTGAATTTCTGTCCAAAGTGTAGCATCTTGTTCTTATCATTACCAAAGTTCACATTGTTGTTTGCAAACCCTGCATCCAACTTATTAAGACCATATTTCAGTCCTGTATCCCAGAGTTTTTTTTACTCCTTTCCTGTTCCTTCTAACCTATAAAAGGGATATACTTACCTACGTCCATCGTCCCCGTGAATTATATTGACTATTTCTGCTCCCAATCTTGCCCAGAGCAGATTAAATGCAGCTTTATTCCAGAGGAATTCAATTTTTTTGGTTTTCCTTGGGTTGATCTCAACGTCAAGATATTTTATATAAACTTCATCTTGAGAGAGAACTCCACTGCAAATAGAATGAAGACAGCAATGCTAAATTTAACAGTTTAGAGATTACTGAATTAAATAACGTTCTCCACAAGATTTGAGCTTTTCCCTTTGTTACAACAGGAATTCACACTTTTGCTGTTCTTTGCAACAGCACAGGATACTGGACCAGGACTCTGGGGTGTTATGCTCTGAATGTGAGAGGATGAAAAACATTAAAATTTAAATATGCATGTGGCAGGAGACCACTTGGAGATAAGGGTGAGGCTGGGGCTGCCTCCAGTGCCCAAATGTCCTGAATTTTGCAGGTGTCACTGCAAGGAGAGCTCCGGGTAAGGTTTTCAGGGAGGGTTTTATAGATGAGCTGGGAACTTCTGTGGGGCTTTGGTCTCCATGTGCATATGGGATGGTGGGAGAATGCATGGAAGTGCTTGTTTCAGAGCAGGTACAGAAGACAGTGGGAGCTGCTGTTTTGGTCGTCAGTGGGAGATGATATGAGCTGTGAATGAAACTCACTGGCCAGACCATATAAATGGCACATTTATATACTAATGATGGCTCTTTAACATATCCTAGGGAGGAAGGAGGTATCCACTTTGCAAATTGGGTAAGTCGAGGCACAGGGTTGCCTTGCATGAGTCCATTCAGCAAGTCACTGGCAGAGCAGTCTCATGTCAGCGTGTGGAGTGAGTATGCCAACACGCGTGATGCCATGGTATCATGG